GAGCAGTTTCCACCGGGACCTTAGCCCTGTTGGGTCTTAGCTGGTGAGATCTGGGGCTCTTCTGGTGACATCTGGGGCTCTTCTGGCCATCACGGCCACCGGGACAGAGCCTGTGTCCTGTGCATGGTGCAGGGAAGGGCTTTCCGCCAACTCTGCTTCAACAGAGGTAGTCCGAATCCTTCTGCCTGTGTCGTCTGCTTGGTGTTACCTGTTTGTCTGGCCATAATGCGCATACCACATCCGAAATCTGTGCCTCTCCCCGGAAAAATCTGAGGAAGCCCCATACTTTCCTTGAAGCCATGACTCGAGTCCAATCTAATTTGTACAGGTCCCCCAGGGCGTGCAGGGACTTGTCCCAGACCGTCTGGGGAGATGGGTCCGCACACGTTTACAGCTGCCCCGAGTCCTCCAGTCCCTTCCTGGCTCTGCCGAGCCCGGTGTGCGGAGCCGAGGGTGTCCTCCCGCAGCTCCCCGCGCTCCTGCCATAGCCAAGCCTCCAAAGAGGTCTGGCCCTGCCACGCCGTCCCGCCTTGCTGCAGGGAAATGGGGGTAGCGGTTTTGCTTGCAAAAGAGGCCTTAATGTGGCAGAAAAGCTGTCGTCCTTTGTTAGTTCTTCCCGGGCTCTGCTGAGAGCAACAGGCCCTTTGTTTGGAGTAAAGCTGGAATCCGTGAGGCACAAAGGAGGAAGGGGAGTGGAAGTCCTGCGGCTTGCGAAGCCGGTGCTGGGGCTGTGATCTGACCGGGACTGTGGGCCGGGCCAGGAGCGGGCAGCCCCAGGGCTCCCGGATGCCTCTGAGCTGTGGGAAGGTCTGTCCCGAGTGGGGTTGGAGCCCCAAAAATCTCACTGTTTGCCCATGGCTGGGTGTGGGCAGCCCAGCAGGGACCCTGGCAGCAGGGAGCTCTGCGAGGTCCTGAGCAGGGGGCTGAGACATACAAGGCATGGCCGCCTGGGCCCGGCACCCCAGGCGGAGCCACCATGCTTCAAGGAGCAGCAGGGCAGCACCACAGGGCGGGCGTTTGCTGCCTCGTCTCCGCTGGGACGCGTGCCGGCACAGGGAGGTTGGGCTGGGATCCCTGCCTGTGGGCTTGGTGGGGAGCTACTGAGCAAGCGAGAGCAAGGAACAAGGGTGATGGAGTCACGTGGGCCCGTGGCAGGAACCCTCACTGTGTCCCGGGGACGGTGCTGACCTGCTTGCTGCTGTTTTAGTGGCAGCAGAAGCGGCTCTGCAGCCGGCAGCACTTGACGTGCATCCAGCGCTCCCCAGGTCTGAGCGGCTGTCCCGCGCTCTGCCACGCACTGACAGCAGCCGCAGGCAGCTCGGACCAAGGGTGGGGGAGATTTCAGGAGAATGGAGCCCATTCTGGTAAACGGGTGCCCCACGGGTGGCTTCGTTGGTCGCTGCTGCAGCAGTGTGGCCTGATCTGAGATGTGGGAACTGCAGACTGCCTGGGGCACTTGGGCGGTCACTGTCCCCAGGAAGAAATGCCACTCGTTCCTTCCTGGCTATGACGTTTCACCCTGGGCAGCAATCAGCCTTGCAGCTCGCAGGGGCCTGATCCACGCTCCCGCGTAGTCTCCTGCAGAGGTAGCAGGAACTGTCTCTAGGCACAGCCAGAGAGCTCGGGTCGCTGCACTGCGGGTCCCGGTCACAGGCTGGGACAGTGGGGCAGGCGGGGGCAGCTGCGGGCACGTGAGCGGTCTGGAGCTGAGCAGTGGCTGGGGACGTCCAGCGGAGTGCCGGGGTAGCAGGGTCCTGTGTCGCCTGCTGCTGGCTGCCATCAGTAGTTGGGTGCTCCCCGCCCATGTCCAGGGTACGGCAGCGCTCACAGAGAGCACGGTGCTAGCTAGCCACGGAGGTGGTGGCTGTTAGCCCAGCTGTTGTCTGGTTATTTCTTCTCTCAGTATTGAGAAGTTACCAGCTGTATATTTTCCTAGACTCCTGTTCTTGAGCTGGCATTTGGTGTCCTTGGAGCTTCTACAGCAAACGTCCTTAGGGTAGGAGCACGTTGCCCGCAGGGAGCTCCCCCGAGCAGGGACTGTGGGGTCTCTCCTGCGGCTGAGAGCTGGAGGATGGGGCAGAGCGCTGGGCAAACTCGATGTCTCCATTAGGCACGTGCCTCTCAGAGAGGGGAAGAGTCCAGCGGCGTGACTGACTGCCAGTCTTCTCCTCCTGATGCCCCAGCGTTTCTCATTCACAGCAGGAGAAAGGCAGTTGCAGACATCTTTCCCCAGAGGAGGCGTCCCAGGCTGATTCTGGGGTGAGATGAGTGAAAGACCCTCCCCTTCCTATGTGGGAAAGGCAAGCCAGTCGGCACTGCCCCTGGAGAGCCCTTCATCGTGGAGTCATTCGGCCCTCTCGAGGGTCTGCTGGTGCGGAGACCAAGCATCGCATTCCCACAGCTGTCCATTTCGTCAGTGCTGGTAGTCCCCCAGCGCCGTGGCTGCCGCTGGGATCTGTGCAGGACAGCCACGGAGCGCTCTCAGCGATGTCACAGGACAGGCGTCCTTCCCACCAGGCGTCACTTACACTATTCACCCCCATGAAATGCAAGACCCTGAGCCTGCTGCGCGAGTGGCATGGCACTCTCCTCTGTGGCACAGTAGCAGGAGCGGCATTTTACCCTCAGGTTGTCGTGGGGTGAGCAGCTGTGCGTGATGGAAAGGGATGGAGAGTTGGGTGCTGTGCCCCGTACCTGTTAACGCAGGTGGTGGGGCCTCTGAAGGAGGCGAGAGCCTGGAAGGAGAGGAAGGGCTCTGCTCTCCCGCCACCCCCGTCAGAGCTGTCTGTCCCCAGAGAGACTTCCTGTGGCTGCCCCCGTGTTCTAAGAGTGTGTGTGGACACAGCCGTGCTGGGCGGCGCAGCAGCGGAGATGGGCCGTGCCCTTGGTGGGACGCGGCTGGTGGTCTCTGCGCCCGTTCGTTAGCTCTGCCGGGGTACTGCGGGCTGCGGCACGTTCCTCGATCATCGCCCTCCTGCTGCTTCCCTCCACAGTGAGAGACTGCTCCGTTCGCAGGTTGCGGGGTGTGGGGCAGAGGAGAGGGTCCCCTCCGGACCCCCGACTCGCCTCCCCGCACCCACCCTGGCGGGCACAGACCCTGCCGGGCTGGAGGCCAGCGCAGCCATGCCTCGCCGCGGACCAGGCTGGGCGCCTCGGCCTCCACGCTGTCTCTGGAGCCGTGCAGTTGACTCCCTGCTTTTAATAGAGAGCTGGGAAGGCACATTATGGAGATGAGGGTGTTATTTGCATAACGCTAATTAGGTAATTACAAATCATTTTGCTATGAGCTGAAGCGTGTGCTGTGACATAACGTTTATTAGTCATTCTATTCAGGCCCCGCTTAGTTAAGTCATTTACTGCACTAACTACTGAAGTTGGCAATAAAAGGTAAATGCTGGCGCTTGGGTGCAAAGCTGAGACGGGGCACCCCGTGTGACTCTGAGGCCGTGGGCCGCCCGGCGCAGCCCGTGGCGTGGGCTGGCAGAGCCCAGCGCCGGCAGCCCAGACTGGGGGGGCGTTACGGCAGCCAGAGGGGGACACTGCCTTTTAAGCCTTGCTGTTCAGCTGGCTCTTGGTTGTTTTGGGGCCGTTTTCTTAGGGCCAGGGGGCCTGAGGTGCTTTCACACATTTTCACTGCCCCCGGTCTCGCTGCTGCTGGCTCTGCCACCCAGTGCAGAGGTGCCTGTGCTGACACCCTCCCTGGAAAGCCGCCGGGCAGCGGCGTGGGGATGCTGATGCTTCCATTGGTACCCAGCCTCTAGGTGCCTGGCGGTCCAAGTGACCCTCGGCACTCACCAGAGCTGTCTTCCCTGAAGGTCAAAGTCAGGAACTTGTCCTCATGTGTTTCACAGCCAGAGAAGTGCTTTAGCGTTGAGGCTGTATCTTCTGGGGTTGCCTGTGGGGTGCGGATGCTGGTGCTGTGCAGAGGGGCGGCTGAGGCGCCTGAGGAGCAGGTCGCCCAGCACTGCCCTCATGGGCACTCTGCCCTGCACGCGTCCCTGCTGCCATCCCCCCTGCAGTCCCTGCTGCTGTCCCCTCTGCCCTCCCCGCTGCCATCCCCACTGCTGTCTCCTCTGCCATTCCCCCTGCCGTCTCCTCTGCCATCCCCCCTGCCGTCCCCGCTGCCGTCCACACACCTCATGGAAGCAGCTCCTCTTGGCCGGCGTCCAGGCACCTCCATGGCTACCAGCTCCCCAGGTTTGGGAGCTGGAGGCCGCCTGCCTGGCAGGGCACTCAGAGGTGCCAGAGCCAAGAATGGCATCACTCTTGCCTCTTCAATAGCTCCTGCCCTGGTCTCTGTGACATAGTCCTTCGCTACGGGGAAACAGCAGCTGTGCCGTCGTGTGGTCCATGGCACTGAGGGCTTCCCGAGCGGGACCGCCTCTGGGCTGTGCTCCTCAGCTGGCGATGACGCCCCTTCTCGATGCACAGGACTGTGAAGAGCTGCCTCTGAGCCCAGCGCAAGGGGCCTCCTTGAATGTCCCAGTGCGGGGTGCAGGGCTCTGTCCTTCTAAAGCCGCACCGAGCGCTCTGTGGGCCCTTGGGGGGTTCAGGAGCACCAGCTCTGCGGAGGAGCTGATCCCACAGCTCAAGAGGTCAGCAGCTTTCTCCGAGGGTGGGACATGCATGTCATGGAGACCATGGTGCAAGCAGCTTCCAGCAGCCTGGTGCCACAGCCTCCTGGGTTTCCCGGCCAGGGATGGGGGGGGGACGAGGCTGTGTGCAGAAGGAAGGGCAAGCCCACACCAGTGGCGCTGGCACAGAAGGAGCTGTGCGAGCAGCAGGAGGGACAGGCTGGTGCAGAGCTCTGGTTCCTCCCTGCCCACACTCTCTCCCTGTGCATCCCAGTCGCAGCCTCCTGGGGACCACTGCTGCCAGCCATCCCGCCCCTGCGCGGGCACAGCGGTGGCCGCAGGGGTCAGTCTGTGTGCTCGCGCCCTGCCAGGCCGGCAGACCCCTTCTTTGCCTCACTCATGTCATGGCACACCTTTCTTTTCCAGAACCCGATGAGCCATTTGAGTTCATTATCGTGTCCCTGACGGGCCAGACGTGGCTCTTCGAGGCTTCAACATCAGAGGAGCGAGAGCTTTGGGTCCAGGCCATCGAGAGCCAGATCCTGGCCAGCCTGCAGGGCTGCGAGAGCAGCAAAAATAAGGTAAGAGGCCACAGCGGAGTTCTGCTTTGTTCCCTCCTCTCTGGCATCTGCTTTGCTGCATCCATCGCTGTCCCAGGCTTCCCTCTCTGTCCAGGCTGGTCCCGTACTGATCCCTCTGCTCCCAGTCAGGCTTCAACCCCGTCCCTGGGGCTGTGCTGCTCCCCACCGTGTTTCCTGTCACCTCTCTGAGCTCCCTGTCCTCTCCCCAGCCTGGCTCCGGCCCCACGGAGCTCTCTGCATCCCTCCAGGGCTGGACCCTGTGCTGTCCCGCCTTCCTTGGACAGAGCTGCCTTTTTGCTCCCCCGGTGCACGCTCGGCTGCGACGCGGTGTTCCCTCCAGACTCTGTTCTCTGAGCCCCCGCAGCAGAGCCTGCGGGGTGCCCGCTGCAGCGAGGTGCTGGGGGCCCCCCGACAGGCTCTTGGGACGGCGATGAGAGGACATGTGGTGGGGCAGTTGGCCTTGAGTAAACAGGGTTCCCGTGCCTTCTGTTTCAGGCTCGGCTGGGCAGCCAGAGCGATGCGCAGGCCAGGCAGGCCGTCCGCACCGCACGTGGGAACACCTTCTGCGTGGACTGCGATGCACCAAGTAAGAAACGCTGCACTGGAGGTGGGGCGGCTCACCCGGGGAGCTGCACCCCAGCCACCTCCCCTCCTGTCCCAAAGGCACCTTCTCTCTGGGGCTGTCTCCTCCTCTCCTGCAGTGGACCGGTTCTTCAGGGATGGGGGACTGACCCACCTGCCACGCTGGTCCTTGACCCCTTATGACCAGCCTGGGGTCCTTGCCTCTCTGTGCTGCTGGGGCTCTGGGCTTGGAATGGATCTGGTGGGCAGGTGCCTGCAAAGACGGGTCTCCTGGATCGTAGGAGACGGGCTGGTGAGTCCATGCTGGTATTAACTCTCCCCCACTGATCTTGCTGCCCTCAGATCCAGACTGGGCAAGTCTCAACCTGGGCTCCCTCATGTGCATTGAGTGCTCCGGGATCCATCGCAACCTGGGCACCCACCTGTCCCGTGTGCGCTCCTTGGACCTGGACGACTGGCCTAGCGAGCTTCTCATGGTCATGACAGCCATCGGCAACGCCCTGGCCAACGCTGTGTGGGAAGGAGCGGTGGAAGGCTACCCCAAGCCCACCCCTGAGAGCAGTCGGTAAGGGAGATGGGGGACTGCAGAGGTGCTTCTCAGACCACCGCACCAGAGGGCTTGAGGGCACCTCAGGACGTTGGGAGCAGCCATCCAGTCACACAGAGAGGTGGGCAGGAATCCTGGAGGTACTCCAGTGTCCGGGGTCCTGCCTGCTCTCTGGGCACTGGAAGCCCTCTCCTGCTGTCCTGGTGGGCCAGCGGGGCGTCATGGCCAGCCATGGCCATGCGGTGACTGCTGGAGCCATGGCTGGCTGCAAAGCAGAAGGGGTTAACAGAGATGGCTTGGCAGCGTTGTGCAGGTCTCAAGGGTGCGTCCCTTTCAGGCCCTTGTCTGTCCCTATCGGAGCGACTCTCCTGTCACTCATCCCAACAAGAGCCCATTCTGCAGCTTATCAACGGATAAGAGCGGGTCAGGGGGCGGCAGGAGTGAGCATGCTCCGTGTGGGGCATTGATGGCCGCCCGCCAGATGCAGATGGATAGAATGGCAGCAGATAGCGGCAGCACGGCACACATCGATCCGCCCGGCCCCGCAGCCCCAGGCGGGACGGACGCTGCCGCAGCCTTTGTTTGCACCAGGCGAGACGGCAGCAGTGATAACGTGCCTCCCGTGGCACCGGGCTGCCGTGGGGAGCAGCTAACCTTTTCTTGCCGCTGGCCACGGCCCACATACAAGCACGGAACAGAGGTGTCCCCCCGCACTGCCATGTAATGGGCATGCAGGAGCGGGTGCAGGGCCACGAGCATGGAGGTGCGGGTGTCCCTTCGCTCCGTGGCAGGTGTGGGCTCTGCTTGTGGGACAGCTGCTGCTGTACATGCATGGGCGTAAGCACAGTGCACATAGGGGGCGATAAGGAGGTGCAGTGAGACAACTGTGTTGGCCATGTGTCCGGAGCAGTGTGACAGAGCCCCAGTGACCACTGTGTGCGTGGGGAGGTCTCCGCAGCATGGCCCATGCGAGGGGTGCCTGTGTGTGACAAACGTGCACTGCTAGTGGGGGTGCGTTCAGGGTGGCAGCGCTGGCACGCGTGCCTCTTTGCACATGGGGCCCGGGCAGGTTGGCCCACCTGTGACAGCGACAGTGACAGTGTCCCCTCTGGCAGGGAGGAGAAGGAGCGCTGGATCCGGGCCAAGTATGAGCAGAAGCTCTTCCTGGCTCCACTGCCCGCGTCGGACATCCCGCTGGGGCAGCAGCTGCTGGGGGCTGGGGTGGAGGATGACCTGCGCCTCGTGGTGACGCTCCTGGCCCATGGCACCAAGGAGGAAGTGAATGAGACTTATGGGGACGGAGATGGGCGCACAGCACTGCATCTCTCCTGCGCCATGGCCAACGTGGTCTTCACGCAGCTGCTCATCTGGGTAAGGCAGGACCCCGCAGCCTCCACCACGGGGCTTTTGGCCCTGTCCCGGCGCTTCCCCACTGCAGCACCTCCCTGCTCTCAGGTCTCAGGACACCCCTCGTCCATCCTCTTCCTGCAGGTTCCCCCACGTACTCGCTGGTGCTGCCCTGCCCACCCTCCCGTCTCCCTCTCCCTCTCCCTGCCCACCCCAGTGCTGCAGAGCTGCCCTGCCTCTGCCGCTGCTCTTGCCGCACCAGCCCCGTGCCCATGGGCCGCATGGTGCCCGGGTGCCGCTGACCGGCTGCTTTCTCTCCTGCACAGTACGGGGTGGACGTGAAGAGCCGGGACGCTCGGGGCCTGACCCCGCTGGCCTACGCCCGGCGAGCCGGCAGCCAGGAGTGCATCGACCTCCTGCTGCAGCACGGATGCCCCAGCGACAGTGCCGTCACCACGCTGACCCCCAGCCTGCCCCGCCGCAACACCAACGCCAACAACAACGCCTGCACCGTGGTGCCAGCTGAGCTCGGCTCCAGCA